GTCGGCGTTTTGGTGCGCAGGAACTCCGGCTCCGTCGGCGTTTTGGTGCGCAGGAACTCCGGCTCCGTCGGCGTTTCGGTACGTAGGATCTCGATCTAGAGCTACGACGCCTCCTGGGCCGGCATCCACTTCGACTCTTCTTGCGGCGACGGGCCGATCGGCTTCGCGATCTGCTGCCGCACGAACTGCGCCGACGACGACCGCAACTGTCGCCGGGCGTGTCTGCGCTCGTTCCAGCAAATCCGTGATTGTCGAGTACCACCGAACATCCGTCAAGATCAGTGGAAGACTCTTCGGACAACCCGTTCCGGTTCTCAGTAAGATTTACTTGCACGTTCTGATTTGCCATAGCAAATTAAGAAATTTCGGTTTTGAATAGTATTATTCACCGTCCAGTTTAAACTGTTATAAATGATACCTACTACACTTATTAGTTTAATCGTTTAGTTTCCTATAGAAACTGTACATATAAGTATTATTGATTAAAACGTATTTATTTTTAACCAAGACAATATTATTATTATTTTTTTTTAATTATTACAGCCTAGTTTAAACATTATAACAATTGAACGTTAAGCAACAAGCGAACCCGTTCTAACGGCTGGAACCCGATTGATCTTTTTCGTAACTCGATTGAGCACAGTGGCAATCAAACAATAGGAACCAAAAAAAAACCCAAAAACCACACGATTAAGCACGAAAATGGGTACGACGTTACCGCTTTTTCTCTCGTCCTGAATATATTGTTGCTGTACAATAATTGTTCGTACATCACCAAGTATCTTCTGTGTCTTGTTAGTAATTCTTAGATAGCAGTGGTAATTTAATTGTTCATAGTAGCCCCTCCCGAAAATATTTTCTGTACACGCCACTGTAATACGCAGTTGATATATATTAAAAATTATTAAATTTAAATAATTAATAAGTGTTGTGTAAAATATTGTTTCACATACGAAAAAAAATAAAAAATACTCTCTATTTTATACAGTGGCGGGTGGGCCGCTGCTCGTATAAAATATATACTTATTAATATTATTAATGATGACAGTCGAAAAAAATGTTTTATTTATTATTGATAACGACGATATTATTAATATGTTAAAAACTAAAAGTGATTTATTAAATAATAAACCTTCTTATTAAAATCAAATTGATTATAATTTAAATTGTATACATAACAATTACTTGAGATATACTCCAACTAAAAAATTCACAATAATTATTTTACTTTGTTTTATATCAATTAATTATAGTATTTATAAATTTACAAAAAAAAAATATATTATATACATTATATATATTATATATTATATACAGTGTTGGGTAGTAACGTAACGCAAATTACAAATTATTGTAACGCAATTACTTTTTCAGAAACGCAGCAGTAATTCCATTACATTTTACTTAAAGTAACGCAATCATTTTCAAAGAGTAATTTCTATAATGTAACGCACAAAAGCATTATTTTACGTTATTTATTAAAATAAAATTCCAATTGTATTACTCCCGAAATACGTCTACTCATTTCCGAAAAACGTCAAGCCCGTAACATATGGCAGCTCTTCCACTACCCAGATGATCGGCATATATAAAACTCACTTTCAAACAAATTAAAAAAACTTCTTAAGAAACACAAAAATGATCTTTACGAAACTCACTTATCTTCACTATCGCCAAATAATGGCTCCTTATGGAAAAAAACAAAATCCCTACTCAGACACAGAACAATCTTACCTCCGTTTCAACATCAAAACTCCAACTTCGCAGTTTCTGCTCAAGAAAAGGCCGAACTCCTGGCTTTACATTTCGCCAGCGTATTCAAACCGCATTCGATCCTCCCAGATACTTCTCGTCTAGACAAAGTGAACGAATTTATCTCTTCACTACTACCTATGGCCTTGCCTGCCAAACAAACGACTCCTAATGAGATCTCATCAATTATTAAAACACTTAAGACTAACAAATCACCCGTCCACGATCAAATCAGCAATAAAATTGTCAAAAATATCCCGGCCAAACAAGGGCGTCCGCAGGGGGGGGCAAGTAGAGGCATCTGCCCCCCTTGGCTTTTTCATGGATCAATTATCTTAACCATTATGTAGTATAAAATATCATAAAATAAATATTTTTTAATTTAAAAACATTTTTTGAAACGTTGAGTGTCACATAGTCGACAAATGTTATGTGGATTTTTATGGGTGTATTATGTCATCGGTTTTCGATGCACTGTTTCGACTATTATATGTGAATATTAAATATTTAATAGGATCTCGTGATTTCATTGGTATCATTGAATATAAATACTAAAATACTACAAGTATTTAATATTTATAATCATTAATCAATTTTGGTATATTTGGATTTTGCGTAGCTATTTTTAGTGGGTATTAATTATTTTTTCCGAATAACGACGACGGTGACGGCGAAGTGTTGAACAACGCAGCGGTGCTATTTCCGATAATAATATAATATTATCTCGACAAATAATTGACCTTCGGCGCGGCGTCGCGGGTCAATTTTAGCATGGAAACTAACTATATAGGATATACCCATCATAAATACTGTGGCACTCAGCGTATTAACATATACTCAGCTGAACTTTCATGACTTTTAATGTAATTTATGAATATACCTAGTGTCTTAGTGAGTAGTTTCATAATTGATGATGTTTAGTATTTTTAATATTAAAAAAAAGGGTAATAATAATTCTAAACAAGATGGTCAATATGAGCAAAATCAAACCTGTAAGATTTATAATGAAGATGGTGAACCAAGTGATAAATCAAGTAATGATATTTTTAATAATTCTTTTGAAGAACAACCAGTTACAGGATTACATTCGATACTAACGACATCATCGTCATTAAAGTAATTTAATTCAAATTTATCGAATTCTAGTAATTTAGGTAATGATAGATTTAGTAGACTAGATATTGGGAACTTTGTTAATCTTATACAATAGTTATTGATGAAAAAACAAAACATGAACTATTAACCAATATCTGGACACCAGAAAATAAGTATAGTTTCAAGAAAGATAGTACGTCAGTTGCTCGTTGTTTTCGGCATGAATGGTTAAGTACATATTCACCATGATTATCTTATTCTCAAAAAATGAAAGGTCCATTTTGTGTGTTCTGTGTTCTATTTCATTCATTTAGTGGTCATGGTAATTCTTATAAACAAATTCAGTTTGTAAAAAAACCATGTATTAAGTATAAAGATTTTCACAAAAAAGCATGCAAACACAAAGTTTCCAAGACACACTTACAATGCACAGAAAATGCGGTTAATTTTATTAAGGTTTTTTCTAACAAAGCTTCAACTGTTTTTGATAAAATTAACACTTCTCATAAGTTACTGATTGATAATAATAGGAAAAAAATTTTTCCTATTATTTCAAGTATACTATTTTGTGGTACTCAAGAAATTGCTTTGCGTGGAAAAACATCAAATGAAGGAAATTTCAATTCTTTAATTAACTTTAGAATTGAAGCTGGTGATAAAATTTTACAAAGTCATTTAGAATCAAGCCCCAAAAATTCCAAATATATTTCAGCTAGAGTTCAAAATGAAATAATTAATATTACAGGAAAAATAATCTTGAGCAGAATAACAAATTATTTAGTGAACTCGCGATCATTTTTTTCTATACTCGCTGATGAGACTGCTGATATTTCTGGTACCGAACAGTTATCCATAGGCATAAGATATATCTCATTTGAATCAGAAAACCCTGCAGTTAAAGAAGAATTTTTAGGTTTTGTTGCATTAACAGATATGCATGCTAAAACTGTAGCAAAATCTATAATACATTTTTTGAGACACTGGTCTTAATTTAAACAATTTAATAGGACAAGGATATGATGGTTGTAGTGCTATGTCAGGTATTCATAATGGTGTCCAAGCAATTATTAAAAATGAATTTTCTAAAGCTGTATTTGTACACTGTTCATCACATAGACTAAATTTAGTAATAAATGATTTGAATAAACTTCAGCATATTCAAAATTGTGCTGGAATTATCAAGTCGATTATTAAATTTTTTAGGTTAAGTCCTAAAAGAAGAAAAAGAATAGAAAAAATCCCTTTATTTTGCGAGACTAGATGGTCAGAAAAATATAAAACTATAAGAATATTTAGTGAACATTTTGTTGGAATAGTTAAACAATTAGAAATAATATCTATGGAAACATGCTTTGATTCACAAACAAAAATTCAAGCATTTCAGTTACACAGTGCAGCAACTAAATCAAATTTTATAGTGTGTTTATTCATAATGGCAAAATTTTCTGCTCAACTAGAACCTATAACGAATGCATTACAAGCAATACAGTTAGATTTAATTCAAGCTAGAAAATATATTACTGAAATCATTGAAGTTTTTAACAACCTGGATGCGAAAAATTATTTTCATGAGATTTTTAAAAAGGCTCAAAATGTTGCCAATGAGCTTGGAGAAGAAATTGAAATTCCTCGTATTGTTTTTAACTAAAAGCATCGTTTAAATCATCGAATAAATACTCCTGAAGATTATTTTAGAGTTTCCTTATACCAACCATATGGAGATTCCTTAATAATGCAATTAAAACTAAGATTTTCTAATGAAAACAGTGCTGCTCATTCCTTATTAAATTTATATCCGAATAATATGAAAAAAATGCAACATGATGAATTTAAAAACATGATAGTAGAAATAAATAATTTTTATGAAATTGATAATTTGGTTGAGGAGTGTATATTATGGTATAATGTATGGAAAAATAGAAACACAAGTCAAAGTGAAATGAAAAATATAAGTTTCATAAGTCTATTAGATGAAGCAAATTTATATCCAGCAATTTATATTGCACTAACTATCGCATTAACTCTGCCAGTTACTACTTGTTCAGTAGAAAGAACTTTTAGTACACTACGTAGAGTAAAAACTTGGACAAGAAATACTATTGGTGATAATCGACTTTATAGTTTATGCATGATAGCTGTCCATAAAGAGTTTGTCAAAAATCATAAATTAGAACTAATTGAAGAAATTATAAATGAATTTGGTTTACTACCACGCAGAATGGAACTATTATTCAATGATTGAATAGTTATTATTTATAATTATTTGTTAATATTTTTATATTAGTTTTTTCTAAGAACCCCAAGTTGTGTGAGGTAATACGTATATTAAGTTTGATCTTTATGATGTTTCTTTTTTATTTCATTATGTATAGGCCTATAGCGTATATACTCGTATTTTATTTTAGAATATTAAAATTTAAAAGTTTTTATTATTTATATAGTTTAATATGTATTAATACATATTTTTTTAATAATTTATTTTAATCAAAGTTATTTACTATAATATTATAATATAGCTCTAAGCAGTATAAGCTATGTTAGTTTTTAATTAAAAGAATAAATAAGTTATTTTCAAATAGTTTTTTATTTATTTTATAGAAGCTAGAAACATTTAATTTTATAAGTAATCTAAAATTACCAAATCAATGATTACATTTTATTTGTATAAAAAAATACATTTGTTAATTTAAAGTTGCACATTAATTAATTAAAATTAATACTGTAAGATTAAGTTTTAATGTTCTAATTATATACATGATTAATAATTTAATTTTTACGTTCCCTACTTATATGATAGAAAACACGTCGAAAACAATAAGGTTACATTATCACTAATCAGATAATGAAACAAAAATTAAAAAATTAAAATACCTTGCCCCCCCCCCTTGACACATTCCTGCGGACGCCCTTGCGGCCAAAACAATCATTCTATTCACCCATATTTACAATGCTACACTACGACTATCATACTTCCCTCAAACATAGAAGTCAGCAGTTATTATTCCAATCCTTAAACCCAATAAGCCTCCAGACAAAGCAGACTCATACAGGCCTATCAGTCTTTTACCAGTGCTTGGAAAAATCCTGGAAAAACTACTCCTTAAAAGACTATTCTCAATTTCTCACGAAAAATATGCGTTATCTGAATTCCAATTTGGTTTTCGTCCAAAACACGCTTTCCACCAATTACATCGAGTTGTTGATCTAATTTCGACCTCTCTCGAAACGAAGAAATATTGTTCTGCAGTATTCCTCGACGTTGCCAAAGCATTCGACTCGGTCTGGCACACCGGCCTGCTGTACAAAATCAAAAAAAATCTTTCCTGCGCCATACTATCTCATTCTTAAATCCTACATAGAAAATAGGTCCTACAATGTCAAAATCGATTCTACTCTCTCCGGCTCTCACGATATACTTGCCGGCGTCCCGCAAGGAAGTGACATTGCCCCATTCTTGTACATCCTATTTACAGCGGACATTCCTTCCTCCGAAAACACTCTCATTGGCACGTATGCTGACGATACTGCCATTCTAGCTTCAGACCATGATCCACTCATCTGCAGTCACCTTCTCCAAAACCATCTCAATAAGCTTTCAAAATGGTGCAACACATGGAAAATTAAAGTAAATGAACTCAAATCCTCACACGTCACTTTAACCCTCAGACCAAAGGACTGTCCTGAAGTTTCTTTCAACAACTCAGTAATCCCCCACTCCAGGGAAGCTAAATACCTTGGCCTCCTACTCGACAGGAGACTCACCTGGGGTCCCCATCTCAAAAGCAAAAGAAAACAACTTAACTCCCGCCTACACCTAATCAGACCTCTCTTCAAATCCAATATGAACTTATCCAACCGTCTACTTTTATACAAAAGTCTCCTACAACCAATATGATCTTACGGTATAGCTCTATGGGGCACTGCCAAACCCTCAAACCTCAGGACAATTCAAGCGTTCCAATCCATCTGCCTCCGCATAGTCACTAAAGCCCCATGGTACGTCACAAACGCCGCTCTACACAAAGACCTCAATGTCCCATCCATCAACCAGACTGCAGCTAATTTCTATTCAAGACTCCACTTCAAAATGAAAAGCCACCCAAACCAACTTATATCTCAACTTCACTCTAATACACTTTCAGGTAACCCTATCCGACGCCTTAATCGGAAATGGTCCAGAGATCTTCTCAACACCCAAAATTAATTTAATATTCATGTAGTTAGCTCTACTGTGAGCTTCCCTTTTCACCGTCCCATCACTGTCATTCCTCCAACAAATTTACTCATTGTACATATAATAGTATAGATTGTAAATATTCAATAAACGATATTTTATTAAAAAAAAAATTTATTAAAATAATAGTTTTGAATGTATTACAAAAACAAGCCGATAAGATATTTATTTTTGATTCCGATAATAGTTAACAATATTTTTAAACATTCTAGGAATGAATGTTATTATTTCATTATCAGAGAGAAAAGGGTACGGCTTAAAAATGAAATTTAATTAAAACGAATTATGATTTACAACTTATGAGTAAACCACCTATCTACCTATATAGATATATACCTATATGGCTATGTAGGTACACATTTAAAACTGATATACCTACCTACTTTACGATACTGCAGTCACCATTTACAATTAATATTATATGCCAATGGTTCTTAATCTTTTGTAGATCACGGATCCCTGATGAAAGATTTTTGGAAATTGCGGACCCCCTTACAAATTTTTTTTTTATTAAATATCTCATGTTATTAAAAACAAAATTGTTATAATTATTTTATATAATAAATTACATTAGTAGACATTACAAAACAAACATACTTATAATTTTTTATTTTTACATTTATTTTTTCAGTTAATTTTAATTTAATTATTTTAGTTTACTTCATTGATTCATATATTGATGAAAATGCAACTTTTCGCCCGTATCTTTGGTCATCGCGTCACATATCTGGCGAAAGAACAACAAATGTCTGTGAGGCATTTCACTTAGCGTTTGGGAAATATTTTTATTCACCCCATCCAAATATTTTTGTTTTTTTTTATGAAGTTTTAAAAATAATGCAACGCAACAATCATTATACGTGTTCTCTTAGTTAATACAAATATACCAAACACTAAATTTATGACAAAAAAATTTAGTAGTAAAATAGACATAACTAATTTTAATATTAGACCTAAGAACTTTTAAAAATTTTTAGGATTAGTCTAAATATATATACTAAAAATATAATATAATATACTATATATTAAATATAATATACTATCAGTGCAATTACCAAGTATGTAGAATGATAAGTTTGATTTTAATTTTAATTTTTTGTTTTTAGCCATAATGATTTTTACTTGTACTGTATAGTTGTTATACCAGCGCAATAGATGTATATTATACATGTTACCATTTATACTCTTTTAAGAATACATGTTCTCTTTTGAGCTCTTAAAATTGTTGTACTTTTACTTTTTTTATATTGGCAAAAATGTACTATTTTTTCTATTTATAAACAAATGTTTTTTATCGTCTCCAACAGCATATTAAAAAACCAATTATTGGAATCGGATGACCTGCTCACATTCTAAATAACTGTGTTCAATACACAATTGATAGTTTACCAATCGATATAGAGTTTATTATATTAAAAATATATAATTACTTTTTAATTTATACAGTTCGTACACAATCATTAAAAAATTTTTATATTTTTGTTGATGTTGAGTATAAAAAACTTTTATTTCACTCAAAAACTAGATGGTAATAATTATTTTCAGCTATAAACAGTCTGTTGCAAATATATCCAGTTGAAATAATCCTGCACTTAAATCTTATTTTTTGTCAGAAAATCAAATACCAATTTCAATTAAATCATTTTTTGAAAATCCTTTAAATGAAAGTTATTTATGGTTTATTCATTCACTAATGTATATATTTCATTCAAAAATTGAGATAATGGAAAAAGAAAATAATTCATTTTGGGAATTATCGTATGTATTGTTGTCGGTAGAAAATGCCTTACAAAAACGAAAACAACAATAGTTTTTACTCTTAAAAGTAAAAGAAATATTTAAAATAATTATAACCAATCAAATGCATCTAATTTAAGAAAAGAAATGTTAAATGTGTAAGACCATGGTTTGTGTTATATGAAAAAATGAACAGCTAATTTTAATCAATTTAATGTTCTCAAATGAATGTCCCTAAAATCCAAACTTTTGTTAATTGATATAGAAAATAGCATTTTATTTTTAAAAAAATATGATCTACAATTAAATGACTCTTTATTATTTGATCAATCTCAATACTTAAAGTGTTTTTGTCAGAAATGGAAAAAAAATGAAGATTTCTCATCATTGTTATAAGATGAAAAATGGGTAAAATATTTTGAACAAAGGAGCTATGATACAAAAAACTTATCAATGTCGAAGAATTTTTAGCTTTATGAAAGCACAATGATAGAAATAGACTTCTACCGGATTTTGTAAAACATTTTTTTAATAAAAAAACACAAATACACAATACAATAAGCATTTTGACTGTACTCAATTTTATAACTACTGTATTGAAGGTAAAAGTTTTTTTTTATCAAAACTTCGAAATAATGATAAATATTAAATTTTATGTTTCAATTTTTAATCTTCAGTTACTCATATAAAATGTAATGTTAATTAAATAAATATTAACTATAAAAGTAGGTTTTTATTATTACCTTTAAGACATTATATTATATTATATGCTCTTTTCTTAAAGACACCACCTGGTAGGTAACCCTATATACCGTTAGTGTCTTAAATTCGGCGTAATTGACGAATACTAAGACAAATAAAGTATATTTTACCATTGATTTTATTGTGTATTTTTATAAAAACTGTTTCCAACCGGTGATACCCGATTGAGCACGGTCGTTATCGGCCTTTATGATGACCCGATTGAGCACAGTAAAAAAAAAAAATATTGAATACAACTTTGTCAGATTGAAAACTAACTATTAGGCTGGAAACACACTAGCGTTATTTTACTGAGCGTTTTGTTAAAGTACATTAAAATTAATAGAGCACAACGCGATATTTCGAAAACTGTCGCGTGCACCTTGACTATACCATGCATTAAAAATACAGTGTGATAAGTATTCCTGTTAATATGCATTGAATTAAATGAGCAGTCTCACATTGGCCGTAATAAACGCGCGACAGTCAATTATTTATCGTTGATTATAGAAGTCGTGTTTGTGCTACTAGCCAAATTACAATGTCAATCCATTTCTCAACATGTCCTCAACAGATGAAAAAAATCATATTCTTGAAGAAGACATTTTGGGCATTGATCTTTTGATAACATCAATAGAGGAGGGGCCGTTGTTATGGGATAAGACGTTAAATTCATACTCGGACCAAAACGAGAAAAGGAAATACTGGAGAGATATATTTTGTATAATGAAACCGGGATTAGAAAAGCTGGACATAAAGAATCAAAAAACTTATCAGGATCACTTCTGAGTCCTTTAAAAATTAAAGTAAACGCATCTTCGGATGGACGAGAACTGACTAAAGGATGAACCCACATTTTCTTGTTGATATTTTTTTTCTTTTTTATTAATAAATGGTAACCTAAACACAAAATAATGTTTTCGTCTACCGCGTCTGCCATGTTACCACACACACTGAACAAAAAATGTTCAAAACGTCTAGTTGAGAAATATTGTGCAGTAACATAACGTTCGTGTGTTGGTCGATGTTTTTACAGAGCGTTACATGCAATAAAATGTGGCGCGGTAAAATAACGCTAATGTATTGCCAGCCTAAGTTTTTTTCTTTCATTTATGCATCTTCTCCTTGCCAGTGACGGTGCTAGAGTTCGTGAGGCCCTGGGCAAAATTGATGTTGGGTCTTATAATTTATATTAATAAAATATTTTAAGTTCATTTAAATCAGAACTGCGGGACCCTGGGTAACCGCCTCTATTGCCCACCCATCGCGGCGTCCCTGCTCCTTGCTCAGTTTCATTATCTTTTAACATCCAAATCCCTCAATTTATTCTTTCTACTCATCTTATCTTTACTTTGGATGACGTCAGTAAGTCACTGTTCTCTCCAGAACATCAAATCTGTTGAACCCGACGGATTGCAAGACCACTTCTTATTTATGTTAAGTATGCATCTATTGCATGGCCTCTCTTCTATTCCGCAAGTCTATTGACTCTGGTGTGTCCCCTGCTGCTCTAAAAATTAGTTCTATTACTTTTCTTAAATCTGGTAATCCTAAGTTTGTCTCAAACTATCGTCTAATCATTCTTCTTTCCCATCTCTCTAACGTCTTTGAATCTATTGTTCTTAACTCAATTCATTATCCTTTCAATCATATTCTTGAGGATTAACAGTATCATTTTCGGCTAGGTCGTTCTACCACTACTTGTAATTTGGCACTTTTTTTTTCATTTTATAACCGACGACGTCGTGGGAACTGCTTGCACAATTCTAACCTTCCGCAGGTGAACTTGGCACTTACTTCTTACATTTATGACTCTTTTTGGGAATTCAAACAGGTGGATGTAATTTATACGGATTTTTCCAAGGCATTTGATCGTGTGGACCACAGTATCCTCATAAATATTTTAAATCAACTCGGCATTGGTGATCCCTTACTCTTTTGGCTCAACTCATTATTACGTAACCGTCATCTCTACGTCTCTATCCTTGTTTTTGGACTTGCCCATAATTATTAATTAATAAAATAAAAAATAAAATAAATGAAATTATTATACTGCTATAATATTTTGAACATTTTATTGATAAAAACTTTAGAACTGACAATTTTTTTTATTTTTTTTTTTTATGAAATTATTTGTTTTGTTAAATTTTCAATCCATATTTTTGTTTTTGGTGGGTTATTGTTTTTTTTGTATAACAAAGACCACAAAGCAATATTATCAATATCTAATTTTGCGTTTGAACCATGTATCAAGTTATTTAGTTCTGAAGTACGATCAGTTGTTGAACAACTGATTTCATTAATTAAATCCAAAATGTCAGAATTTCTTTGATCAGCAACATTAAGTGTTTCAGTAGCTAAATATTGATTAAATAGCCGCAACAATGATACTTCACCCAATAGGACAGTGGTTGGTGACCTTACTATTCTCGGACTAGGTTTAGTTAAAAATAAAAATAAATAATCATTATTGAAACTCTTGTTAGTAGATGACTAGCAAGTGATCAACAAAGATCATTGTTTCAAACAGAATCTGATATTAAACCTTCACGGATGAGGGGTTATTTTTTCATGAATTTTATATTTTTATAATGTAAAAATGTATATTGTTATAAAATATGTTATTTTATATATAACTATTATTTATAACTATTTATAGTACCTACATATTAAATAAGTACCAAAACGTTAATATGAATACAAAAAATAAACTGAAATCAATAATATTAAATATGAATAAAAATTTCAATTATAAAAAGTTTTGTGAAATACCAAGATATTGTTAACAAATAAATAGGATTTAGAATAATCAGATTCCTACTAACAATTTTAATATACCTACTTTGCTCAAAATCTTAAAACTATTAAACTAATTTATTGACTTTATTTTACTATTTAAATTAATAAAATAACTTACTTTTTTGCCATATAACAATAACTTTAACAGTGTTTTTATTCTTTTTACAAGATATTTTTTTGAATAATTTAATGACTTCTAACTCCTTCAAATCTTTTGTTAAAGTTGAATGAACATGATAAGAAATATCCCATGATATTTCAGGCCATAAAATTGGTAATGCCAATACAGAATATGGTGGGTCATCTGGATCAGCGAATATTACAGTATCGTTCTATAAAAATATAGAAATTCATATTCAATAAATGTACATATATAATGACTGAGATACAAAGTACAAAAACCATGTTATTGTTTAATAGGCTTCATTTATATTCATTTATTTATTCATTTATTTAAGACTTAGTAATGTACCACAAGCTAGATTATATTCTTAAACATTAGACTACGATAAATTATTTTAAAATAAGTAAAAAACTTCAGTTAACTTTATATTTTTTTCATTTATTTTCTAAATGTTGCATATTAAACTTTTATCATATAACATATTATGTCATGTAAATATTTATATCTAGTGTGCATTCATCTAATATGCTAGTTTTATAGTTTTTGTACTTGCAGAACAGCAGTATATATTGAGAAATCAAGATAACAAGAAAAATTAACAGTCAAATCTTACTTTTATTAGATGGGACACACTACTATTATCAAGTTTCTTAGACTCAGATTTCCTATTATATTTTTCATGAACAGCACGACACTGAGATGATGAAACAGACAGCTTCTTAAAGGCAGGTACACAACTCTCTTCAATGTCGGGAAACTTAGTATCTAATTTACTCAATCTGAGTTCAAGCTGTTCTAATGTACTGATAACTTCATTTTGTCTCTTTAATAATAGATTGATCTCTTCATCAGATAATTGTACATCATTTATACCCTGCAAAAGAGAAAAAATAACAAATTAAAATAAATAGTTGACCGTAGTAAAAATATTAACTGCAATATACCCTATGTATTGAAAAAATTTACAAGCATATGTCTACTAGATTTCTGTCATGTTACTGAATACATGAGCATGAGGAATGCATGTGTATCATTTATTATTTTTATTTGTCTTCAGCTGCAATTTGTTTGTTTTCCGTTTTGCCTTAAACAAAATTTTTGTCTCTCAAATCCAATAATATATATCTGAGAAATTTGAAAACGTTACTGTTGAAAGCGAAAAATAAGGGTGTCTACCAACCATTTTAACATTTGGGCACGTGAAAAACATAAACATTGACTTGCAAGTGTAGCAACATCTAATCAATTACATCGCGACACTATCACAGGTGTATTTAGACAAACAATGTTGAGGAGTTTATGATAAGAAGACAACGCGATCACAAAAACAGCGTATTGCATAATTGCGTCGCAACTGTGAAAACATCACGACGGAAAACATAAGAGCCAAGTGAATCGACGAGTGCAGTTCGAGCACCTTCACCGTGACTGCAGAACGAATACGAATGTAATGAGAACGAGCAACGTGACGGACACACGCGCAGGAAAACGAATCACCGAAATTTGGCGGATCACCTGAAACCTATGGCCCCAAAGAATATTACGTATGGCAGCAATCGCCGTCGATCCCCGATAGATAATGATCGGGCACGTTAATATATTATTACCTGTTCAGCAAAATCGACCGTCTTTATGTGTAGGTTTTTCAACTTGTACATGGGACACGCGATGTGGACGTCTAGAGCTTCTGGAACCTTGAACACCGGCTTCAACTTATACATTATCGGCAGTGGCGGTTGTGTGTGGGTTTGGCGGACGAGTAATGCGCGATCGCGATGTAGACCGGACGCTGACGAATGTAACGATCGACCGAAGTGGAAAAAAGTAAAAAATCTAACAGCTAGCAACACGAAAGATGACGGCGGCAGCTGCGAACCTTTTTTTTTTTATTTTTTTTCTCCAGAGTTTTCGAATCGACCGACTTTTTGATGTTATCGTAGGGCTAACTTGCTATCAGTGATAACGGAGACAGAGCAGCCAACCGTCTCATGTGTAGGAAAACCAACCGTTATTGTAGAACTTTTCTATGGAAAACCGTTTGTCTCGGAAAAGTAAACGTGACCGTAACGGAAAACTCATCTGTTCCGTTTGTCGAAGACGAAGAGAACGTGGCCGTAGCCGCAGGTTGGCATGTTTTTTAAATTGGCCGTTGTTCGAGTTTGACGCGGCAGCCACTTTTCTTAACACGATCATCGATTGGTCGGGTGCCGCGGTCGTTCACTCTAAGGTTTTCGCGGACGCGTGACTACGATTGCGTCGTGGCGAACCCTTCGGATGGACGGCCACCGGTTTCAGGTGATCATTAGGCGGCCGCGCGGGCGATATATTCGTAGGAGGGTTGACAGCCACGAAGAAGGGGTGGTTGTGAACGTCCAATGGGAACGGCCGTTACGAGGCCGCACGAATGGCGCGCGCGCTCGCGGTTTTCATGGCAGAAACGCGAAACGTGTTTCGGAACAGCCGTGATCGCGTCGCTTGTCCACCGAGAAGAGAGCAAGAGAAGAAAGCGAATAGGAATTATGTAAAAGGAATAAACGTTCGTGTACGCGCAATTACTATTACTATTATTATTATTATTATTATTATTACTACGTGCCCGTTTTTTTTTTTTTCTCTTCCCGTCTCATTTTTTTTTGTTTACGAACGACGGTTGCTTGACAGGCAGCGGGTGCCCCGCGAGGACAACGACGACTTGCAAGCGAACGGTCTGCCGCCGCCGCCACCGTTGCCGCCGCCGCCACCAGTAGTTTGTGATAATAATGTTTTTGTAAATTAGCGATGCGAGCGAGTGCGTCGTGTTCGGAGCCCACCGAAGGTCACATGACCACATCTCGGCACCCGTCGTTGGCCCGTTAAACGTCCGTTTTTCGCGCGCATAACGTACATAAGCATATACGATAATATTATACACCGTACGCGGACGTGCGTGCCACACAGTCGGGCCTATCTGTTGGCGCCACACAACAGCTGTGCCCGCGCGCATTTTTCTTTGTATTTTTTCTGTCGTTCGCCGTTGGCCCATCAGCTCTCGCCGTGTGTTCCTCAGACATCCGCGGCGCCGTCCGCCGACGACCGCATCCCGGGTGCGACGTGCACTCCGATTTTTGGCGGGTTTTCGCGGCCGTCGGTTAACGGTCGTCGTCGGCCCCGTCGCTGTTAGCAACCAGCGACAACTGCTACGCGGACACCGTTAAACCATGTCCGGCAGGCCGAAGCGCCGGGGACGTCCCCCGAAGAGCCCTGGCGAGGGCAAGACAAAGTTTCAGATGCACCTGCTGAAGAAACCCAAGTACTTGCAGAACGTCGAAACGGACGCCGTCGCTGTCTCTCCTGTCCGGCCTGCAGTGTCTTCTCGTCGCAGTGCTCCTGCTGCGTCCACGGCCAATCGCGGCATTGCAGCCGCTAGAACGCCGTCTCGCACCACCAGGCGTTCTACCCAAAAACCCAAGACTCCGGCCTCGGTTAAGCCCAAGACATCTCGTCCTTCAACCAGTAAGAAGAAGAAGCCCGCTGCTCATTCCTCGGACAAGAGTCATGACTACCACTATGGTTCTGACTTTGATGAGTCCGAAAAAAGTGAAGACGAACCTTCTGACAGTGAACAGTCCGACACAAATGTTGAAGATGCGGATGATGTCAGTGATAGTGATTTCTCTGTTTCGGGTTTTTCTGTTGCTAGCCGTGCACGCAAAAGCAACGTCTCCTACATTAGAAACCCAAGTCCCGAACCTTTATGGCTCAGAGATGAAGAGATTCCCAAGCTGGAATTGCCCAAGTCTTCTGAAGACCTTTTAGTGCCTAATGAACATGTTATGCAAGCCTTATGTGTTTACGAAGTATTAAGGCGATTTAAAAGCCAAGTACGTTTTTACTATAATATTTCTTATGTTGTCTTTTTTTAATTAATATCCAATTAATTTATAATTATTTTTTTCTTGTAGATAAGGTTGTCGCCTTTTCGATTCGAAGATTTTTGTGCTGCTCTTGTCTATGAAGAGCAAAGTTACTTGTTGGCCGAAATTCATATTATGCTGCTTAAAGCGATATTACGTGAAGAAGATTTGCAACAAACACATTATGGAGCGGTTGACCAAAAAGATAGTATTAACAGTATTTTTTATTTTATGGATACTATTACTTGGCCCGAAGTCTTACGTTCATATATAGAGTCGGATAAATCATTTGATCCAGAAGTTCTTAAGGTTTTCCACTGTGGTGATGAATATCCTTTTACCAATACTAAAAACAGATTAACAGTACTACAATTTCTAACTGACCAGTTTATTACATCCACTCCAATTCGAGAAGATTTTATTCATGAAGGTACTTAAAAAAATAAATATTTCCATATCCATTTAGATATTAATTAAGCTTCAAAATTATAGGCCATAGTTTTCAATACGATGATCACTGCCGAGTGTGCCATAAAGTAGGTGACCTTTTATGTTGTGAGACATGTCCTGCTGTATTTCATTTAGAATGTGCAGAACCTCCACTAAATGATGTACCTACAGAAGATTGGCAGTGTAATTTATGCAAAGAACATAAAGTTATAGGAGTTTCTGATTGTATACCTGATGATGAGAAATCAGGTTTATCATCTCGTCAGGAACACTTAGCATATGATCGTCATGGTCGTAAATATTGGTTTTTAGCAAGGAGGATACTTGTGTAAGTATACTTAATATTGTTTATTTTATTATATTATGAATTAATTTCATTCTTCTTTTATTTAAGTGAAAATGAGGAAACTACTGAGTGTTGGTATTATACAACTGAAGAACAACTACACTTATTAATAGATTCATTGGATTCTCAAATGGAATCTGTTCTTTTCAATGAAATACAAAAAATTAAAGATGAAATTCATAGGCAAATGAAAATCACTATGGATCTTACTCTACAATATCGGCCATCTAATCGGAAAACTTTTTTAGAAATAGAAAACTGTAAGTATTTTGTTCATTATTATTTATTATTAATACTACTAGATAAAAAGGTCTTGAGTATTATTTCAAATATTAATTCTAAAAAGTTAATACTGTAAATTTATGAATATATATATTTACATTATGTACATAATATGTTTTTATGATACTTATCTGAGATACAAACTACACAAAATTTTTTCAATTCATACATGGGATAAATACTTATTAGCAGGGTTGGGATTTTATAGCACTTAAAATTGCATAAATATGCGTTATAATTTTACCTTAAAAATTACTAAAAAAGCTCTAAAAGTATGCAATAAAACAATAAAAAAAAAAGGAAATTTATTATTTAATAATTTTATACGAGCACATGAGACGAATGTGGACTGTATAAAGCGAATTCTACACTCGTTTGTTGATAATCGGCTATTAGTAGATATAGTAGAAATCGACAAAAAAAACCAACAAAATCAGCATATAACAAAAGTTAGAACCAAATAACTAAAACAAAATTATTGTATTATATTATCAGTCTATTTACTTAATCTATACATTTATAATTTAATTTAAAATTAAAATTAAAATTTTGAATCTTGAAAATTCGATTAATAAAAATCAAAAAACATTTTTACCAAAATAAAATTTCATAAAATATGCCTGATTTTGATTAAAACACAGGTAAAAAGCTAAAAAGTCTAAAAAAAAAGTAAAATAAAATTTTTTATTAGAGTTCTCTGTATCATGAAACACATTTTTAGCTTACTCTGTTATTTTTTTAAGCATCTCATAAGAAATGCAAATGCTATGAAATCTCAACCCTGCCTTATTAGTTTACACAAGTATATGAATAATTTGTTGTAATTACACAAATATTTTTAAATCTATTTAAGGAAATAATTAACTTATTGTTCATGTTTTTCTTTTAAATTAATGAATTCATATTTTAATTTTGTAGCTAGTATTATAGGGATGAGAGAAGAAATGCAAAAAAAAAAGGAAGAATTGGAAAAAAGTATCAGTGAAGAAAATGGTTGTAGTTTAAAAGATACTAATGAAATAAATGAACGTTCTAATGATGTATCTATGGACAAAAATGGTATAAAATAATTTTTATATTATTTATATTATAATATTTATTTATCTATCAATTAACTCTATTTTTTATTAAATTAAATTTTTTTTTTTTTAGAAAATGAAGGAGGTAGTGATGAAAATTCTACTGATATTGATGATGGAGAACATAATCATAGTTTGAGTTAGTTAAATCTTTCAAGTAATATAATATAGTACAATTTTTATCCTTAATTGTCAATTTTTTTTAGGAAATACACGTAACAGATTTTTACGTCCAAAACCTGCACAAGCATCACAACGCAATACACCCGAACAGCCAAAGAAATCTCTTTTGGCTGATAATTCTTCTCCAGCTCTTTTACATATTGAATCCATGGGTGCTAGGCTAACAAGATTCAAAGCACAGCACATAGCAGCTGGTACATATTTGTACAAACTTGGAATGGACAATGGTTTTAAAACATATGTAAATCAATATAGTTCAAATTCAACAGCATTAAATAAAATACAAAAGAATGAAGAACGTGACAAAAAACGATATATGTCCCATAAATTTTCACTTACAGGATCGGGTGAATATAAGTGGTGTGGACAGATATTTGGTAATTAACTAAATTATTGTTTTAAGTCTAAAGCACATATTATTTATTTATTTTTTATTTTTTAAGGTTCCCGGTCGACGCTTATTAGTACTGTTAAACAAACAATTATTGCATTGGATAACTTATTACCATCATCATTGATGCACATAAATTGGTCAATGTTACGTAAACCCTGGTTAAATCAAGTTAACTCTTGTTCTACTCCTAAAGACTTTGCAAGAGTGATGATAGTTCTAATGTCTTGCATAAAACCAGTTGTCTACGCACCGGTTTGGCATGAACAACTTGGTAAATATTGTACTTCATTATTAAATATTATCTCAATATTAACATATTAGTATAACTTTAATTTAGGTCATGTAAAAATGTATCGTATTACACATGCGGATCGTGAGGAAAAGAAAAAAACTGACAAAAAAGATAAAAAAGATAAAGATGCTGAAGAAGAAGAGCGAAATAGATTGACCATACATTTTGTTAAATATACACTTGGTTTAAAACATCAAGTGAGTAAAAACTACATTTATATATAATATTTTGCTATATACTTATTGATGTGTTAGGTTCATAAACAAAAAGGAGAAGAGTATAGAATTCATGGACAATGGGGATGGCAATGGCTATCTAAAACACGAGACTATAAATTAGCTGATTCCTCTAAACAGGGTTTAGCAGGAGGTCCTGCCAAGAGAATTTTTCAAGGCAAAGGTAAATTTGAAAAATAATTAAAATAAAACTATTAGCATTTTATATTTTTCATTAATTTGCTCATATTTTCTTAATTAATTATTTTTAAAATATATAAATTATTAATATACCTTGTATAATAATTGTTTTTATATTTTATATAGATGACAAAGGGTTGAAAACATTTTCAACCTCAGAAACACTTTATGAATCTGTAATAATGAAAGAATGTATTTTTGATTCAGAAGTATCAAGTGTAATTCCTGAAGACCAAAGTGTGACACATTTAGATAATATTTCAGGTAAATAAGTTATTATATAGAAATATTGGAAGAAGCAATAAAATGTTTTCTATCTCTTTTTCAGATGTTGATGTCATGAACATGAAAATCCTTTCACCAGTGGACAAACTTGATGAAAATGTTAATATTAGCGAAGCATTATGTACTACTAGTCGTATATTGTATCCAAAACTTGCCAAAAAGTGTAAAACTGATATGTTTTTGCCAAGAAGGATGCAATTAAAATTAGCTGAAGAAAGATCATTAATGGTGAAAAGTGCTCCTACTCCAAAACCAATACCAGAGGTGAATATAATTGATGATTTCTTGTTCATTGGAGAATAAACCTGGATTATTGATTCTAACATTTTCTAACAAAATTACATTTTTTTTTTCTGTAGAATGAAATTGTTACACCTCCTAATGTTTCTGCAATATCAACAGAAACTATGAACAAAATGAGAGAAAAATCTTATATGTTGAATACGTTACAAAAAAGAGTAATTGAACTTAAACAGCATTACCTTTCATTTAATACCATGTCTGAACACATGATATGCTATAATAGTAGTTGTCGAGCTGCTAATAAATCTAGCATAACTTCCTCATGTTACAGTCCTCTGTGTATTAGACATGTGAGTGTAAGAAATGAACTTTTAGCATTACTAAGAAGAATGAACGTTTTAAAATCTGAGTTGACTGGTAAATATTTGAAAATGTTTTTATTTTTAGAATTTTTATTTATATTATCAATTACATTTTTTATAGAATTAAAAGCATTAGTGCCCAAAGATCATGTTGCTTTTAGTTCAAAGTTAGAAAATACATCAGGTCAATCAGTAAAGGAAATAAAAATAGAGACTAGTGTGAAAAATGAACAAGTTATAGTGAAAAAAGAAAATGTAGATATAAAATCTGAAAATATCATCTTACCTAAAGATATTAAATCAGAAAATACCCTACAGAAAGACATTAAATCAGGAAATGTCACCCCACAAAAAGATATAAAATCAGAAAATGAAGATGAACAAGATGTAAAAGTTGATGTCACCAGCAGTCCAACTGGGTATGTAGCTTTTAAACATTATAATTATATTTGTAATTATTTAGTAATGAGATTATTTTTAGACAAAGTATTTTGAAGCCTGCGAGAAAAAGAGGTGGTGCTAAACGAGAAGGTATTTTAGTTGATTGTGTAGACGATGGTCGTTTTTATTCTACAGATGATACTCGAAAAAAAGGTTAATATATTTTAAGCGATATTAATTTTTAGAAAAAATTAACATAAAATGTTTGGTTCAATACAGATTTATTTGAAGAAACTCCCAAGTAGTACAATTGTTAAAAAAAAAGCAGAAAAAATTAATTATCCTCCGACTTCACGATTTTATACACGCAGTAAACGTTCTAGTTTATTAATATTACCAAAACACGAACTCCGTAAATTAGCCAGGCATGCAGGACATGATATAGTTAATGGTTACAATCCAAATAGCAAGGTATGTTATCAATGTTTATTATTAGTATTTTTGTATTAAATTATAAGTATAAATTGATTTTTCAGACTAATAATACTGTCTGGCCTTATCCGTGCCCTAGACCGTATTTTAAAACATGCTGGTTATACAGAACAGTAATGTTCAACACAATATCAGCTGCTGCTTTACAATTAAGAATTTTATGGGCATGTTTGAAATGGGACGAATTGACTGCTAAAACTGCCCACTTGGCTAGTAAACGAGAAGTAACTACTGAAACTGAATTAGTTACTACTGAAACTCTTGAATGTCGTACATCTGGCCAATTCAAGGAGCATACTGAATATTTAATACGTAAAGTAGTTATACCATTAGATGTCCCAAGACAAGTGAGAGGTAATTATAATCACCAAGTAAGAAACATTAGTTTTCTTTTTTTATCAAATTATTATTCACATTTTATAGAGGTTACACCTATTCGAAGTGGTTTAAGAAAACGTAAACGAGAAGAAGCTCCAAGAAATACAGCTCCACAAGTGTCAGAAGTATGGGTTGATGAAAGTAAATTAGAACTTGTAGAAATCAAACAGTTCCATGAAAGGTATAAATATTAAATACTAAATATGGTGTATTTCTGATAAGATTTTTTTTAATTAAAGTATTTTTTATAGAGTGGAACGTGAAATGCAGATGCAACAAGCTATGAAAACACGTGCATCTTCAGCTTATGTTAATAAATTATCAAATAATGATTCTTCTCATAATAGAAGTATTAATGACAAACTTCGTGTACAGAACTCTGAAACAACTGAGCACATAAAAGAACAACTGGAGCAGTCTCTCAGAGCTCAAAGATTAGCTTATAAAAGGTCATCAGTAAATAATGATTTAAATTCTTCGGGTAAAAAAATGTGTTTAGACAAATCAAATTCACACAGTCCAGTAACTAGTAGTTCAACTCAACGTATGAAACTTGTACCGGGTAAGAGGATTTAATTAAGCTGGTAATAAGTAATTTAACAATCTGTGATTTTTATTATATTTAAGAATCAAAATTCTTATGATATAATTTTAATTATTAAACACTACTATTAACATTATTTTATAAATATATAATAAAAATTCATACTTTTTGCTATCTGATGCTATTAAAAAAAATGAGTTTATGTCAACTGCTTTAATAAAAATCATATACTTTTTCCCAGGATAAACAAAGTTAATTTCTAAATTTATATTTTTATTCAATTTTTTATACCTATTTTTCAAAAGCCACTATGGTTAAACAGTATTTAAGAAATTGTTTTATTTTATTATATATATATTGTGAAAAGTATTTTTATAAAGTTAGACCTATATAACTAAAAAAAAGAAAAGTGTGACCATATTTGTTATAGACATTAGTATTCCAGTGTATCTTTGTTATAAGTTAGAGTTTTCTAAATATTTGGCATATTTTTTATCTATATGTTTATTAATTAATCCCTAAAAATTAGTTTATGAAACTTAAATATGAATTGTAATTTATTTATTTCATAGGTGAAGGAGGAAAATTAAGACTGATGCCTAATAATAAAACAGTAGTTCAAAATTCAACTTTAATACAATCTTCACCTCGAATTACTGCTAAACCTACAACTACTACTCCATCAACACGTCGTATATTCATGACCAAATGTATGTAATATTATTTATAATATATATATTTATATATAAATAATATTGTTTTAATATATTTTGGTATAGGTCCAGATGGAAAAACCAGATTGATGACTACACCCAAAGCAATTGTTTCTGACAGTGGAGTGATGAATCAAAATTCAATCAAAATACAGTCTTCCAACTCTCAGATAATAACTAGTTAGTAGAAATATCTGAATTTCAGATTTAAATTGTAATTTATTTTTACTTTCAGCAAATAATATAACTCAACAAAAATTGCAATGTATTAAAGGTGAAGATGGTAAAATACAATTAAAAGGTCTTTTGCCAGGTACTGCCAATTTATCCATCAAAATGTATATTATTATTATAGTTCTTGTTTCACTTTTATTATACAGGTCAACAACTCATTCAATTACCTGATGGGAAATTGCATGTAACTAATTACATAAATCAAACCTCTTCTCCTCGAACTGTGCAAATAGCAAAAAATACTATAATAGCAAATAATAATAATTTTACAAAATCTGGCCCTCAAGTAAGTTTTTAAACATTAATATGAATTAACTTATTACAACCATTCTTTTATTTTTAGAAATATTTATTTCAATACATTTTTATTGATTTATATATTTTTAATGATATAGTTTAGATAATATATTTATTATAAAAATCAATCTCAAAAATAATTAAATTTATAAAACATTTAAAAAATCATAACAATTTGCTTTAAATATTAATAAAATATATATTTTACAGACAATTATTTTAAACAGAGGACCACAGCCCATTCAACAAATTATAAAACCTCAAAATTCTCAGGTGACTTTATTTGACTAGACAATATAAATTATTGGCTTGATATTATTTTATTATAAAATATTTATTAATGCTATTACATATATATGTGAGTTGAGATATTAATAAATTTGTTTTATAGATGGTAGTCTCTAGTGGACAGTTGGTAAATGTTTCACAAGGACAACAAATGATTGTTCAACACATTAATCCAAATAAAGCTACTATAGCTACTATAAATGGACAACAAGTTTTGATTCGCCCCAATACTGGTAAGTTAATTAATAAGTTCTATAACTTTAAATAAAAATTTAATTGATGATTTCGATTAATTAGTTAACTCTACCAACATCATAACTAGCGGTAGTCAAACAATTAAATTTGTACGCCCTCAACAAAATATACAGAAGGTGATTCCATCCCTGCCACCATTAACACCACGAGCTGGTCCGTCAACAACAAATAGCATTGTTCAAGTAAAATTTAAAACTTTATGTTATTTTACTTTTTACTAATATTATTATCTATCTTGTAGGATCAACATGGAGGATCAGTCGTTCAAAAGACTGTATCTATGCCAATAGTGGATGAACAAGAAAAATTACTGTTAGCTAATCAACCACCTGGTACTGTTATTAAATGCATCACAGCTCAAGTTATACAAAGTCCAACACATGGTAATAAGATTGTACTACAAGGGTTGCAAGGTAACGATTTTACTCCTCAGCAGTTGCAACTTGTACAGCAACAAGTTAAACAACAACTACTAAAAGGTTAGTGATTCTAATATATCAAAAATTAGTTTAAATATGGTTTTAATTTTTTTTTTTTTTTTTAATAATTATAGCTCAAGAATCCAGTGGTACTCAAGGAGTTTTAGGTCCCACAAAGATTTACTTAGCTGTTCAACCACCTGATTCTCAACCTTCAACTATCCAGAAAACTAATACTTTGACAACTAATGCAGTTCAGACAACTTCAACTAAACCAATTGAATCAACTTCTCAACCATCGACAATACCTGCTTCAGCTAATGTTCCTGAAAGCTCAACTCAAATGAAAACTTCTGAACAAGTAACTAAAAAAAAGGTTACCTATGCTTATAAACTTAGTATTATAATTATATGTTATCTTTTAGTCATTAAAGTCACCACAAAATCAAAAGCTTGTGATTAAAGATGAACCTGTTGATTCCTCCTCAAACTCATTTGTAGTAACTCCAAACTATATTAGTCAATGTAAGTAATATTTGGTATATATTTTTTACTGTTAACATGGTATTTTGCATTTTATTACTTTTTGTTACAGCAATAAAAAATGTTTTAAAAAATGAAGATTTAAACCCTGAGACCCAAGAAAAACTATTACAATTGCAGAAATATCAAGAACAAAAATTGCGAGATCCAGTGCCTCAGCCTTCAACATGTTATGTTAGAAATTCACCAGATAGAAAGCGCCCGTTAGATTCTGATAAATTGTCGTCAGAATTTGAGCCACCTAAGAAATCCAACGAACGTGATAATTCTGGGTATTTTCATATAATTAAATATGATGTATAACTATATTTGTTGATAGGAAGAAGTTTGTTATAAATCAATTTTAAGCTATTGTTCATTTTAAAATGCTAATTTTGTATATATATATATATTGTGTTAATTATAAACTAATAATCTTTATTATGTATTTACAGATCATTGATATCTCCTCCTGAACAATCAAAACTATATCAGACGTTAAAGCAAGGTGATGATCGTCGTAAAATTCAACAACAATCAAAACTCCAGGTTAGCTTGTTCAAACAAAAAGAATTATTGAAAAAAGATATACTAAAAAAGAGGGCGCTTCTGGAAAAAGAATTGCAAATCGATATTCAGGTATGTATTTTAATCATGTTTTCTCGAAATTCGGTTTGATCGAACTTCCTGACAAACAAAATTTCCTGAGTTTCGATCCTCAATTCCGATTCCAGAAATGTCAATTTGATTGTAGTGTTCAAAGTATCATAGTAAGAAAGAAAAATGTATTTACATATTAGGCGGGATGCACACCGAAATGATATAATACATGAGATATGCAATATGCAATATACGATAATAACTGTATTGTGACTTCTCAATACACACTTCTAATATGCAACTCTCATCGATTGATAATATAGATTATATAGCGTACACTAGATCATTGTTCATGTCAAACAATCATAAGGCTCAATTTATGCAACACTGCAACAGTAGTGATAATTTTCATAGCACAACTTGATTAGTTTATTTCATGCATAAACATTACACAATAATATTGCTGTTGCATTGATATGAGCAAAAATGTAATTTTATCAATAAATTAATGAAAACCATAATAGATAATAATTATCATATATCGCATATTGCTTTATGTTTTGCTTAGACTATAGTTATTTATTGTTATGTTATTTTTACAGTTAATTAATATACACATTGTTTGTTTCAGAATGAAATAGCAGCTAATGTTACAATTTCTACAGCTGATTCAACAACCACATCAAATAATGTGATAACTGAAAAGTCTACCCCGGTAACACCTACTCCTCCACAGGTGACTCCTCCACCACAAGGTAGCAGTAAACGTAAACACGCTTCAGGTCCACCTACTACAATACAGACTACACCACATGCAAATAGTAATTCTAAGACAAGTAATCTTGGACCTGGTCGACGACGTCCAGTCAAGATATCCCCTCCAGCACCTAGCAGAAATCATTCACGGCCAACATCATTAACCCCAACAAAGAAATCTAGTCCAAAGAAAAGCAAGAAAGAAAAGATCATGTGTATTTGTCGAACACCTTATGACAGCTCGCAGTAAATAAAAATGTTTAAAATCTTATAATTTATTGTTTTTTAATTGGGTTTGATCATAGATTTTATGTTGGATGTGATATGTGTCATAATTGGTTCCATGGATCTTGTGTAAACATCACTGTGCAAATGTCAAGAAAAATATCAGAATGGTTTTGTCCGGAGTGTAAGCGTTCCAAAGATCCAGAAGTTCTTTATTGTATATGCAAAAAACCTTATGATGATCAACAGTGAGTTTTATCCATAAAAACCTATTTTTTACTTTGTTCAATATGTCTTTATAATATATTTTTTATTTTTATAGATTTTATATTTGCTGTGACAAATGTCAAGATTGGTTTCATGGTAGTTGTGTTGGAGTATTACAGTGCGAAGGTGACAAAATGGAGGACTATAATTGCCCTAGATGTATGCGTGACTCTGAAATTAATTTTGCTAATTTGCATCCATTGAACCAACAAGACAATGAAGACTTATTGAAACTCATCAAACAAATACAGGTATTTATTTTAATTAATATTTGCACTCATTTTGAATTTTTTCTACCTTTTATTTTTATTTTTAGTCTCATAAAAGTGCGTGGCCTTTCATGGAGCCAGTTGATCCTCATGAAGCTCCCGATTATTACAATGTGGTCAAAGAACCAATGGGTGTGTGGACTAAGCAATTTATATTTTTATAATTATCTAAATTAACAATTATTTTTTTCTTATAGACTTGAATTGCATTGGTAAGAATGTGGCCAATAAAATGTATAAAACATTAACAGATTTTATTCGTGACATGATAAAAGTATTTGACAACTGCAGATATTATAATCCACGTGAATCGCAATTTTATAAATGTGCAGAAATTCTTGAGCAATTCTTTGTGGCTAAACTGAAAAATCTAAGGGACAAAATCTGTGAGCAGTACATGGAAGCTTAATAATTATATAGTATAATTTGATATATTTTATATTATTATATTTTTTTTCTGTTCATTGATAAAAAACAATTTTTTTTTATATCATATCTTTTGATTAAGAATCTAAATTTGCCTGCTAAATGGTTTACTTTATTCTTAATTATTTTATTATTATTTTGATAATTATTGATCTTCAAAGTAAAATGTATATTTTTAGTTCACTTTTATTTGTTTACTACTGATATTGCCATTTTATATGGACAGTTCACTGCCTTAACAACAACAAGCTATAACAATATTTTAATAACTGCTGACATATTAATAGCTTACCATTGTAATTGTTTGTATCAATTTTCTAAGGATACTATTGTACCAGATAGTTTTAATCCTAAGTTACTGTTGTTTTTATCGGTGTTTAATGTTTGTATAATCGCTCATAACACTCATTCCAAGTATAAAAATCAGAATATATTTTTATCAACATAGGTTTTTTTGTATAAATAAATTAAGTGTGAAGGTGACGATATTTATGTTTGTATCTTAAATTATGTTTTATATATAACGTTGGTGTTTTAATATTTTTTAAAACATTGTGTCAAAACCAAAAATTGTATAATTCGTTTAAAAATGCATGTAAATAATTATATTAAGTAGGTGTAACCTACTTTTGTTTTATTTTATAATAAAAAATGTTTTAAAAAACTATTGTTTATATATTAAGGGTACCTAATGATGTTTTTCTTACAAGCCTTTTTTTTTTTTTATTTAATTACATTTTTTTATCATTATTATTTTATTATTATTATTATTATTATTATTATTATTATTTATGTTGTATCTAATTATGGTGAACTTTTTTAGATATTTAATATTGTAATTATTATTATTAAAAAAAAAAATGTTCATATTTATAAAAAAAAATAAGTCTGATTATTATTACTTGGCTAAATACTTAAATCATATATAAAATTTTCATAGATGTTATTGTAGATGTTTTATAATGTCTTCAAGAACTAGTTATAACACGAGCAAATATGATCAACTAATGTGTTCCTTTGTGACAGGTATTTTTATTAATAATAACAATTACTAATTTTGTTACTATGTGAATCGAGGATACTACTTTTTTTTTGCATACAAAAATTTAAGATAATAAATTTACTCTAAAAATTATAGTTTTATATATGCATATGATTTAGGGACATAAGCATAGGTGGATATTAGGGAGCCATTAAAGATTTAAGCCCCCCAGACAATTGCTAAGATTATCCCCAAAAGGTTCAAGTCCTCTTAAAATACGTGTTAGTTTTTCATTACTTTCCCAATATTGTCAAACCATAATTTATTCGTATGAATCATTTTAACATTTATTTTCTATTAATTCACAACAGTGTATATGTTACTGATTACTAGTTTAAACACAGAATGGACCATTAAATAATTAATAAATAAATATATAAACAAATAGTTGATGTATAGAAATAAATAAATGCTTAACCTGAAGTGTTGTATTTTTTATATAATATTTGTAAAGTACGACCGGTTTCGAATTAAAAATTCATTGTAAGGTCTAAACAAAATCAATAAAATCGCGATTTTTTTTCTACAATGCGATTAATTGAAACATAGTTTCGAATCACAATGATTCTGGGGAGATTTACAAACGGTGACGCAATTATCGGGAGTGTAGAGTATGCAATTCACAGGGGCCTCCGGTTTTGGGGGACCTCAAGGTCTCTTCTCATATTACCTTTATTCTTTACGATATTCCTAGTATAGTCTGTAATATACATATATTAAATTATTTGTTTTATTATAACAACAATAAATAATAATAAAAATAAACAACGGCCCTAGTCTGGAAATGGTTGCATTCAAAAACCGCACACTTTATGGATTGCCAGGTAAGTATATCGTACAGCCGTTACAGTCGTTACATACTTATAGTGGGTAAAAACCTCACTATATAATGTATTTTGTATAGACTAATGCTGTATGTATAATTTTTAAATTAATTATTACATTCAAAAGCTTATATTATTGCATGTTGATGTGCTCGAAAAATAACCAGTACATTTGTCGACCGAAACGCGTGGTATAACGTTAAGTTCTTACCCGTATTTATATATTAAAAAAAAAAAAATGTTTTTATGAATGGATATTAAAACTATTGTTAGTAATAAAGGTTGTTGAGACGGGATGGTCATAAAGTCCCAATAAACCCTAAGAAGAAGAAGAAGAAGAAGATAGTAATAAAGGGGGCAATTTTTATTTTTTTTTTAATTATATTTTAATTTTTTGAAAAGATGTCGGCAAAAAATTTTAGCCACAAACATTATTATATATTTTTTTAAATTTTATATTTAAAAATGTTCAATGCTTATATACATTGTACCTCAATAAATTGTTTTTCAATAAATATGTAGTATAAATAATAAATTATATATCATTATAAAATGTGCGATTTTTGGTTACAAGAATTTAAAAAAATGTGGGTTTTCACTTACTAAATTTGTGGAGTTTTCACCTACCAAAAGTGTGCGGTTTTTGGAGTCGTCGCTGGAAATTTTCACATGGGCCTCTTATCATTAAGTTGCGCCTCTGTTTACAAATACCTCTATTTTATGTATAGAAAAAGTACTAAGTCAAAAGTAGGATATCTAATTGAAAATTGGTATATAACGTATTGTCATCAATTAACACTAGTTACTATTATTTTATTTTATTTATCGAAACAGAACAACATTTTTCTCACGCATGTATAATACCAAAACTTGAAACGAATTTTTCATTTTTTTAAGATCTGAAAAGAAATCGAAACCTAAAATATTCGTTATTTTAAAAAAACAGAAACCTAAGTTTATTTTTATTTTTTCAAAACCGAAAACAAACTGAAACCGACATTTTATGTTTTAAGAATCGGCATCGAAATCGGAACTGATTTTTTTTTTCTAGGAACCCAACGGAAGTCCCTGTATTACAGTCAGTATGGGGTTAGTCACTTTAAAAAAGTAATAAGGTACTCATTGCTTAAATGTAATGAAATTACATTTTACGAGGCTCAAATAAAATTGTAATGACATTACTTTGCTTTCAATGGCGAATTCTCTACGAATGTTTAGGAATAAAAACGTTATTAAGCAAAGTACAAAAACTATTTTTTAATCAATAATATATTACATATTTTAAAAAAACATAATTTTATTTAATTCTGTTATACTTAATAACATTTAATGACAGAGTATGCGATTGATGTGTGCGCAACCTATCCGACGTTTGTTACCGCTGTAAAATACCAGTTATTCCGAGCCATCTCTACTAGCAGCCGCAGTATTTATTACCCAGGGCATGCTAATTTGTACAGTTTACGTGTACGAGTAATATGACCATTTTTCATCGTTTTATTTTATTGCGCTATTCTTTGATAATGTTCAGTCAGTTAAATATTATTTAAATAAGTGCTATTGTATATAGGTATATTAAATTAAAGTTTTATTAATGAATCAATACAAATTTGTGTATTATTTATTAATTATAAATTAAATATAACTATAAAACATTATGATAAATGAACATGCCCATGCATCAGATTCAGCATTCACCACTGTTTGATTTTCAATAAAAAAAGAAACTACTTTCAGTGGCGTAACCAGAACTTTTAATGCCCGTGGCAAAATAATCCAATCGGGCCCTTAGTTTTATAAATTTGGAAGAAAGAGATATGAGGAATAGCCTACAAAAACTAACCACCTATAAAATTCTACCCTTTAAGGTTACAAACAATAAAAAACATGTTTAGTGTAATATTATTTTTATAGTAAAATTTTATTAAACATTTTTTGGTTTAAAAAATTTATACATAGCAATACAAAATTTAAATATTCAAAATTTCTTCTTTCTTGCTTTTGCTTCAGCAAACATAACGATTAAATCTTCAAAGTCAACTTCTCGGGCTGTTTCTTGTTCGATTGAAATTAACGCCAGGCCACTTAAACGATCTTGCATCATTGTACTCCTTAAATATCCTTTAATAATTTTTAATTTCGAAAATGACCGTTCCACGCTTGCAAATGTAACAGGAATTGTCAAAAATAATAAAAGAGCAGTACATACTTTTGGGAAACTGGCTGTTAAAGAATGATTTTTCACCATTAAAAGTTGAGTAAGATCTCTAGTTGAATTAAGTTGATTTATTTGATTTTTAAGAGTTGATCTTACAGCTAAAATTTCACTTGTAAATGTTTTTGATATGTCTTTATCATATTTGTTTACCAACTTTGTAGCTTCATTTAAAAGCTCTAAATCTATTGCTGATGTAAGAAAAGATGGTTGTAAACATGTGAAATTTAGTATTAATTCTTGAAAACTTGAAAAACGTTTACTTATTTGATTTATTAATATATCCAACGTTCTATTAAAAATAGTTACACGAAGCTTAGTTAACATAGTTCGTCTAAATATCTTTTTACAACTTTATGACGTTTGTTTTGAAACTCTGTAGAGATAGACCAACTTTTAGCAACTATATTTGCTTCTTCCAAGAGATCATTGAAATTACATCTATATTATTTTAATTGTTCATAACAGTTTTTTAATAAATTGGATGTATTATCTAAATCTACCAACTTTGACTGGAGCATTTTAGAAATTATGTTTATAATTTGTAAAATTTTACATTGAAAAACTAAAGTACAAATAAAATTATAATTTTTAATTTGTTTTTTAATCCCTTCAGCTTCATTTCGCTCATCTAACTTAGAGCTGCAAAGTATAACTTTTGTTAAAGCTTTTTGAATTTCAACAAATCTAATTTTAAGCGCAAAAACTGCTTCATAACGACCAGCCTAAACGACACGTCATTGACTAATTACAAAATAAAATATAAATTAAAAGAACATCGAGTAACAACGACTAAACGATGGTCACTTTTTCCTAGAATAGTTCTAATCTGATCTAGTATCTAAGTATAAAATATAAATGTTACGTTCGGTTTCAAAGACAAGCGATTGCGATACGCTTCATTGTTATTTCCATTCTACAAATAACAATATCATTAAATGTATAATAATATTAATATCGACAATGTCGACGGACTGGTAAATAAAATAATCTATAAATATAATCGTGATCAGTTATTAAATTTATTTTATTTCACAAGGATATACATGTATTTTTAAACAGAATCGTATTTATAAATTTCACTATAATGGTGATTTGTTTTTGAATGTACTATTTTTTTCTTGAAGGGCCCTCTAGAATCGTGGCCCTTGGCCCATTGCCCGTCATGCCTCCCCGTCATTCCCTTACGTAACCAATCGTTACGTACTTAAATGTATGTATGTATATAATGTACTTATGTACTTAAATACACAGCTCATTATTTTATCCGTTATCGATATGAACATTATTAATCGGTAGAGTTTAAAGTTAGGATTACGAATTCGAATTCCGCGTCTAAAATGACTACAATAACGTTGCGTTTAAACGAATATACATACATATGTAATGTAATGCATGCGTGACAGGTTAACCACTCGTACCTGTTGCGTTTGTGCGCGCGCTTTATTCGCGCGTACGTGTTCGTCGTCCTAACAAAATCGTCTAGTTTCGCTGCAGTTCGAATCCAACGTCCTCGCGTCGCCCTCCGCGCGCCCGTCGGACGATGTCCGGCGAACAACACCTATAATTGACGTGTAACCTGTACCGTTACGACACGATGGCGGGGTACCCGTACTCCCATGATCCCGTCCACGGGTCGGTTGTTCACACGGGCCGCGATCGCAAGTCACGGGATACGTGACGCGTGAACCCTCCGTAAACGGTATACCGCCGACGAGGGGCAGCCTCCCCATCCCGGCATCGTAATCCCCCCACCCCGGGGAACCGGCTGCTGTCACCGGTCCGCATCGCATTCTAATGCGATTAATAACAATTTACCGTTTTCATCGTCTCGTTTCGTACGACGGCGGCGGTAACGCGGCAACCTTGCCGTAGACGTACGCGCGCACGATTACGATCAAGAATACGTAGGGATCGGTGGCGGATTTGCGGGGGAGAGGTGCGGCATAGGTGCCCCCTTGACGTTTATTTTTTTTTTTTTTTTAATATCGCAGATTTATCTAACGTTTTCGATGCAGTCATCCGCGTACAGTGTATACCAAATAAATATTCATAAACTTTTATTATCGAACGCTACCTCTTTGTGTAGGTACCATATTTCACGATCATAAATAATGATACGATATATAATATAATAATTGTAATATTATTCCTATTCGCTCCCCTCTACCATTAAACAAGCTTCGGATCGGCCTCTAGTACGGTACACGTTACCCTATCACGCCTTGATAGGTGCTTAACGATTTCGAAGGGACACAAAACGTTGCGCTTAAATGTTGTATTAATTTTTCGTTCCGCTACTGGTACGCGAGTCGAGTTTTTTGGAAACGGAACATTCTATGCCGATATTACCGATCCCAGTCCGGTTTGTGTACCGTTGTTCAACTCATTCGTGTGTGTACGTTAAATATATATAATTTAAGTACCGCTAAGTCACCGACTGATCGGCGAACAGTCAAAACAACCGTACCGATTCGTTTGCAACGTTGAGGGAATAAACTTATTGCCCATGTACAGGTGTGCTGAGAAAATATTTTTTCGAAAATCGCATTTTTAACGGTCGAAACAGTAGTAAGTTTTGGGCTGGACGCGCATACGATTTGACACTTTTTCGTCACCTCGGAAATGCTTTATTGTGTTTTATATGTTGATTTTACCGGATGAGATAAGTATAACTGATTGCTCCAATCTAAAACGGTAAAATATCCCCCGGTCGAGGTCGGGTTATTCAGTTAGTAGGGTATACAAAATGAATGTTCAATTAACAATAACGCGTGTGAAACGAGTACCCGAAACGCCGTGATTCGATATAGGGCATTCTGTATATATTCTTGGTCTCTGCTATTCGAGTTGTGTACACAGTCGTTTAACTCGTGCGCGTAAAACGATGTTCATAGGACGTGAAACAACCAATATACGAGTGTAACGACAATATCAATATGTATGTACTTATTTTTGGTTGTGCACATACGCGCGCTTCAGAAGGTAATGCTGACGGTAAAAATGCGAAAACATCACCGTTACTTAATAATTGAATAGGATCCGATAATAATGCTGTCATACACTGTACTACATTAAAACACAATGTCAACGCAGATACGAAATAACGGAGTAATAATAATAAGTACACATGTGTAGGTACTATTGAAATAGACTCGATGGAAAATTAGTTGGTCTTACTTAAATGTAAAAATATCGAAAATTTACTCATAGGTATGCACAACTATCTTTTTTTTTTTTTTTATGAACATTTCTTTGTTAACATTTTGAAAAAACTCGACGAAAACCACGAAAATCCGCGTAGAATTTTTGTACTTCAAATTCGTAAAAGTGTTAATTTTAATAGTTAAATAGTTAATCGAACAAGTCAACAAAAAATAAAAATTAACTATCCACAAATTTGAATAATTTTTTTCTAAACGTTAACATGTTAAATTGTGACGAAACTAAACGTTAATTCAACTGGTAATGTAAGAACAATATTATCGTATTATAAATTATTTATAATACGAATACATATTATACCTACTCGTACATTACTGTATATTATAAACATATTATTAACTCTAGTGCAATGATGCCGGGGTTCTATAAATTTAAAAATATTTAAAACACCACAACATCTAAACATCGGCCACAACGGTGTACTTTATAGGGATTTAATTGTTTTTACCCAAAATATATTGATGTTAGGCTTAAATTTTGTGATGAAGCTTTCGTACGGTTTAACAGTCAAACTTTGGTTCCATATAAAACGAATCCTGAATTGTTTATAGATGTCGAGCCTTTATATTGAGGTCGACCCGACGTACGAACGAATCTTACTGGTGCGCTAAAAACCTATTCACTGAGTAAAGTATTCTATACGAGTGAGTATTCTATATGAGCCAGTAAATTTATTGACGACACACTTAATTAGTTTTAACTTTTTGTTAAAATATTGATATATAACTTTCAACGTTGAAAACGATAAGTATGTCATCGTATCTATTTAGCATTGCTTATTTTTGATTACGTCACGTACAAATCATATTCGTGGTACTCGTTCAAAGTCTCAAGTATGTGTTTGACACAAATCGTTTTAAATTAAGATATAATCATTATTGTAACATAATATTATAGTTACCTACTGTAAATAGAGCCGAGATAATTTTAAAGATTTTATTTATTTATCGTATAGCTACTTACTATTACACTCATTTAACACAACATCAGTATAGCAAAACAAATATATGTTAATACAAATAAAAGTATAACAAGTCAAAAAAAAAAATCATATAAAATCAACAAATAGTCATATAACAAAAATAAAATAAATCACTATAATTTAATGTTTAGTATGGTTGTCCACTCTACAGAACTCTATGTTTGGTTATTAATTCTCTCATGTTTCCTTGGGATTTCCTTTCCGGGCAGTCCATGATAATGTGATCAACTTTGCTGACTCTCACCGCAGTCACACGCTGGGTTGTCTTTCAAATGCCATCTGTGCATAAGTTGTCCACATCTACCGACTCCTGTTCTTAGCCTGTTAAGAATTACCCAGTCCTGGCATGGAAAAGAAAACCCTGCTAATGGAATACTGTGATAGAGATATGTTCACTATTTCTGAGCCTCACGTTCCCCATTATTTGTACTAGTTCGCAGTTCCTCTGAAATCGGAATTCAGTAGTGCCTTTCCTGTTTCCCGTGACGGTTTTCTAGATTTCAATCGAACTTTAGGAATGGTTTTTAGCATCAAGGAAAACATTCAATTATTTGTACCATCATGTTTTCTGACAATATTTACCAGGGCTTCTTGCCTGCTGGCTTCGGAAGTATAATATTTGCCAGCACTGGAAGCCAAGATAGCGGAGTCGATTTTAGACATCCAGTAATTACTTTCATGGAACTATTTAACTGTGTATCAATTTTGCCAGTGTGTGAGCTATTAAGCCGTACTGGGGCATAGTATTATGCTGTTAAGTTTTAGTCCGAGATTTCTGTTAGGTATATTACTTTATAATTACCTAAAACAATATTTCAAAACTGCTGATTTATTTATAAAATGTATTTTGTTATTGCCTCATTTAGAATTATTTCGTCCCGGGACGTGTATTCATTTACACCACTGGGTAGCAACCAGAGGTTTAAATGTTTAAACCCAATTGTAAATATTTTTTTCATAGCGAAGGATATCAATTTCTATCATGGTTTCAAACTGTTTTTTTCTGAGAGATTTATAAATAGTAATTGATACGTAAAGAAGATAAAATATTTAATAAGTACAAATTGTTAACACACATATCAGTTAACATTTTTTTCATTTTTATAATCACCCAATTAGCTATATGTATCATTATAATTATGAACATCGTCTACCTTCCTGCCCGTACAAACTTCCTGTTCACATTACTATCGAATAGTATTCGTATACCATAGATAACGATTGAGTACAGTTTTAATATTTACTACCTACTGCATTCTTTTGATTTAGTTGCAGCGAAACAAATGAAAATTTATTAAGTATAGTTACGTTCGTAGCAGAAAAAAAAACTTGTGGTTTGTGACACTAGTTGATATATATTCTATAAATTTATATTTATGCTCATTTATTTATTCAAAATGTATTTAAAATGTAATATTATTAATATAATTTCACCACATTGAATGTTCCTCATTTATGATTATAGAAATACAGACTATTTTCAATTACTTAAATCATTTTTTTATCATGTAATATCAATTTTATATGGCACATTTATAGTTTCTATATTTATACTATACGAATTAAAAAACTACTCCGTGGATGAGGGTCCATGAAAAAAAAAGTGCTCGCGGTCCGCCAGTTGGTGGTCACCTGGTCTAACACGTTCACTTCGCGTCCGGGGACGATAATTTAAACGTGTCCTCCGAAAAGCTCGGTTAAAGATATTAAGACCCGGTGTCGGTATAAAACGTTGCCCGTACGCAACGTGTAATACGACAATGAGTCGTGGACGCGAATAGAAAAGACTCTTTGTTTTCCTATTCAAGCGCTCGTGGACGTCGATTCGTCGGGTCCAAGCAGTGGGGCGGCGGTGAAGCCGATGGGGGGGGGAGCCGTTTCGCGTTGTCAACCTCCCGACGAGATTTCGAAAAACGTGCGGGCTTACACCGCGACCGATCGAAATACTCGCGGGGCAAAGACCGATGTTAGCCGCGGGAACTTCGAATACGAGAACGCGACCGGGGCGATGGGCGGGTGGGGGGGGGGCGCGCGATACGAATCTCGCGCTGACGAGATCCGAGCGATTCGCGTCGGTCGAGAGCAGATGGCACGCAGCGCGGACGACGTCATCGCCGTATCGTTTCCATATCGATCGCGCACGCGGTAGACCGTTTCGCTGGGCGCCGCACAGTCGCGCTACACTCGTTCACGCAGTGACGGCCCCAGCAACAACCCGTCGGTCACCGGAGAATCAAAAGCACTGGAACGACGACCGTACCAGGTCACGTTGCACGTCGAGTGGCACTGCGCGACTCGGCCACGAAACTTTTCAACGCCGCCCAGCAGAGCAACACCGGTTCACTCGTCGTAATCGGCTTTCGGGCGATCGGTAACCACTGCATACCACTGCACACCACCGTTCGATTTGAACGTTGCGCATTAGAAATAATTGTTTGTAATCATTGTTCCTACTGCGTCCCGTCGCATCACGGTTGCTCATTACGTGTTCGTGATGTACACAGATATAACCGCCGCCGAAAGCTCCGCAAATCTCTCGGCCAACGCACCCGTCGTCCATATCGCGGCGCAGCGGCACCATTACCATGTACCGGATCCAAGACGCGGCTCGTCCTGCGGCCACGGCCGCCAAACACTTCGTCAACGGATCGCGTGAGTACCACCTGCCTACGTACGCTTTTAAATAGACACGCTACACGCGAGTGCACGTCGCGACTCTTAACGACGGATCCGCAAACGCTTGATGCGTTTTTTTCGTTCTTTAACGCTCCACAATGTCCGAATAACGTTCCTGATTCAATTCTACGTAGACCGTAGATCCGTAGATTTGTACAGCGTACATCTTTGAATCGAAATAACGCGAATCGATCAGCGACCAAAAACAAAAACCGAGTCTAGGGTTTTCGTGTTATGAGAATACTCATAAATCAGTTATTAAAAAATACAGATATGAGTTGTTGAAGGGGCCATGCTTACGAGAGGACGAATGCCCCGGTATCCCTTTCATTCATGGTTTGATTGTTGAATCTTATGTGATATTTTATTGCTTCCTCTACTCGAATATGTAAATAAACCATCAAGAAGGGAGATTTTCTACGTTAGATTATTTATAATATCGTTATATTACTTCGATAATTCGAAAACAGAGACACCTATATTTTACACTACTAAATTTGATTAAAGTGAATAGTAATAGTAAGCTAAATATAACACAATTGTCTATTTTTTTTAATTTTTGATAAGGTAAAGAAAATAATTATTCATTGTAAAAAACTCAAAGCTAACCGACATTTTTACTGGGAAAATGATTCTAGACAAAGGCTGATGAAATAAATGGTATTAAATTAAAAATCTACTGGAAAAATCGAAAAAAATCTCTTTAATGTACGTCTACTTAACTAACGGACTACGAGTAATAATGTCGATTTTACATTCAGATATTTTATAAATATGATTTTTATTCGTGGTATATAACGCCGAAAATTTTAATAACATATCCAAAAAATCGTTGAAGAATCATATGTTTTTCGATATAAAGGTCATATCTTTATTTAGAATTTCGAGTTAAATCGATTAATTCGGTAAGTATAGCTAAAAATAATACGATAGGCACTTGAAATTAAAATTTAAACAATATTTGTTTGATTTTAAAATTGAGGATAAAAAAAATCTTATGTAAATATTCTATAGATATTCAGATTTGATAAATCAATTTTCATGAATAAAATACATTCGGAGAGTAAGTTAATTCATCACGCAGTAGCTATATTATTATTTATGTATATTATACCGTATAATAAGTTATACCTTTAGTAAAGTCTTGCAATGCATTTTGTATGTTATAATTATAACTGTAGATTTTTCATGTAAGCTTTATTAAAAATTTTACTTCTAGACTCAAATCTTGAGCTTACGCCGTAAATAAATAGTACTTATAGTACTTGCTATACAGATACGCTTCGTTTCATACTTAAAAAAACAGCAATTCATTAATAAAAAGAACAATTGTCGGGTCAAAAGGCAGTTTTATACATAAATTATGCATCAAATTCTAGTATGTTATGATAAGTAAACTCTTATCGTTAATTCATTATTCTTAGTTTGACGCTCATTGTGTTCTACTAATTTACGTTTTTTTTACAATTCACAGTGAAATGTATAAATCAACTTTTTTATTTAACTCAAACTCAGTTCACAATAATAGCCAGTTTTTAATCTACCAACGTTTTTTTGTTTATATTTTCATCAAATGTGTATGTAAAATTTTCAATAACTCTGTAAAGAAAAACGTTAAGAAAATAACATAATGTTTAAAATTTGGTCATTACTTGCTAAAATCTATAGCTTATACAGAAACAATTCGGAAATAAATTATCTGTTATAGTGATTTAAAATAGTATGAGATATATTAATATATTTTGTTAATTAAAAAACGATTGTTCACGAAAACAAAAATTAATTTGTAAATACTCTAATTATGTACAACAGTCTACTCATGTATATGACACAACAATAGTCTGAAGCGATAAAATTCCATTTGATTTTATGAACAAACATAAATTTATACTTGTTGAAAATATATACTTAGGTATATGAATAAACAGTTTTAAGTAGGTAAATATAAACTAACGTTAACCAACAAAGGTCAAAAAAAATGTTTACATAAAACATTTGTGTTATGTAGTTATGTCACTACAATAAGTATTTATTACGTATTATGGTCACGCGTTTACACTGGATTTTTATCAATATACTTCATCTACGGATGTCGGATACACGTATTTTCATTATAAGTTAATTAATTATTTTGTGTTACCTATTTATTTCAATAACTTTTTTGATTAAGCAGTACTTTGCCCTTTCAATAAAAATCAGAAAATATTGTTATAACATCATGTAAATTTTTATATGGTACATCATTAAGAATGTTTTTTTTTTTTACGAGCAATATTCATAATTATTAGAAATGTGTGGAATGGATTGGAATTGATAATTCGGTACCGCAAGGGGTGCACATAGGTTTGTCTTCCTTAGCCATCAGGTATCCGTCCGTTAGACGAGTGTGATCGATATGGAGTTTATTGATTGTTACTTTTTCTCTTCTTTTCAAGAGGAATAAGCCTTGCTATATCTGTGGTGTTATAAGTATTTTTAAGACTCGTGAGTGTGGAAAGTGAGTCTGAAAGAATTATATTGTTTTAATGAATATTTCTGTGGTCATGTACGTGTATGATATGTTTTACTGATTTAAGTATTGCTATTGCTTCGGCCGTGTAGATGGAACAATTTTCCGTGAGCTTAAATCTGGACATGGACTTTTCGATAGTATTTTTTTGTTTTTTTTTTTTTTTGTCTGAAACACAACCATTGAATAATTATTATAAAAAAACCCCACCACTCGGTTTTACGTAGAATGTGCATATTACATACATAATTTTTCTTGGGCGATTTTTCATTTTTATTGTATTGCAGAGAGAATGGCATCTACACTGGTCCTCGGAGAGTACACAACTCCAGTGGTCAAAGCAGAGGTACCAGGACCGAAATCGAAGAAACTCCTCGCTGAGCTTTCGGAATTCCAGGTAAGACAGCAATAAGGATTAGGTGATAACAATACTGACGACTGGGTCAAGTTGTATTATTACCATGTTGTATTTTAACCATCTATATTTTATATTGTGCATAATAATGATCAATTTAAATTATATTATGCGTATACATTTTGGTTTGCGAAAGTTATTACGTTTATGACTTTAAACAGGATATAGCATTGTAAGATTTAATTAAATAAAAAAAGTTTATTACGAGTAATTAAGCATCCAGGGACTAAAATATACACAGATAGGACATGCATGTATGCATATAATTTATTAAAATACTGCCTTCGACTTGTTGATACAATATCTAATTTTATCTTTTTTTAATTGGAATACAATTTTATTTTTTAAGTGTAAAGTATATTATTTAATACTGCTTTAATGATGAATTATAAAATATTAAAATAATAGTAAGTAATACTCTCTCTGCGTAGTACAAAAGATAAATACATAGAATACTGCGTGTTTAAGTACAATTATTATAATTGTATATTTACTGGTTTTCTTAAATTCCTCTCGTATAAAACTAATTTTAAATTAATTTTGAATATCTATAATTTAAAAAATTAATTTTATCGAGCCGTACCGACCGATTTACAGTTTTTAATTCTATGACTGATTTTGAAAAAAGGTAAAAAGAGTTAAAAAACTTGTAGGCCATATGATGAGATACAAGGACGGGTGTTATATTGCTGTATTGGTCTCATAAACTTGTAACTAATTTATCATTGCTCTTTAGCACTGAAACGCTCTACGTTTAATTTTTTAACGATTAAATAACTTTTTTCGATTTTCCGGTAAACAATTTTTTTTTAGCTACAAAGAAAACCTTATGAGAATCTTTTATCTGATTGTCAAGCTTTAGTATAAAATTGAAGGTTTTATGAATTTTTGACAGCAAAAATGTTTCGTAATTTTTATAATTTTGTCAACATTTTATATTCAAACACTCGTACATTTTTATTTTAAATTAAACTCAATTTTTTCTTTATTAATCAGTTAAACATATATTATAAGTTATAGATATGTAAACTCTTTATTTTACATTATCAAGAATTTTTAAAACCAATATCATTTTATTGACATTTTTTAAAAAAGTTCAGAAAATATAAAATTTTCATCTATCTATAAATAGCTTTAAAAATCTATTAAAAATCATATAATCTATAGCGAACGGTGAAATGAGTATTCAGTCAACATTTCAAGTTTCTACAATTATTAATTTTGAGTTATAATGAAAACATAAATTTGATTTTATCGAAAACCGGTAAATCTTACCGGTTTTCTATAACTCTGTCAGTTTTTCGCTATTATTAAGAAAAAAGGAAAAATCGCAAAATTATACATTTAAAATACCAATTTGACGAAATGTCCTATTAAATAATATTTTAAGATAATCGGAATCATTTTTTTGGTCTAAATCAAAGTACACAGATAGAACAACAAAACTCAGATTATGGAAACACTAATACATTTACCGTTTTATTCAGAATCTTAAATCAATAGTTCAGGGTAATAGTAGTGTGTATGTTTTGTGTTATAATCGGTCACCTGCATCAATACATCTTTTCAGCAATCTGGTTCGGTTCAGTTATTCGCTGACTACAACAAATCGCTGGGGAACTACCTGGTTGACGTGGACGGTAACGTTTTGTTAGATGTGTACACGCAAATATCGTCAATGCCTTTGGGTTACAACCATCCGGACATGTTAAAAGTGTTGGAAAACGACGAAAACAAAGTGAGTATATGTAAATTATACATTATATAATATTAACATCCACACAGTGTTATCTTAAAAATGCACGTACAGGGCCACGTTTAGAATATATTGGCCCCTGAACAAGTGCAGGGTCATACATACCATGGGTACTGGAATATATTCAATATATTAGTGGTCCAATGTCCATTTTTTTTT